GTCTTGGTTTTAGGGTTTGTTATTAATACATCTTAGGAATGTAGTCCTGCAGGCTTTGAGCTCTGTTGGTTTCATTTTGTAAGTTACTAGTCTATTTATTAGGAACCTTTTTTTTTTTTTTAAATAAATGAACTTTAGGCTCTGAATTCTCCTTTTTCATTGACCAATGTATCTCCTACATTGGAGAGAGAGCGTGTTCTCAACTTGTATTTCTAAGTAGCTGGTGGTTTTAGTTTTGAATTATTCAGAAGAGTGAACATTTTTAAGTGCATACATTTTAGAGAGGGTATTCTCTTGTTTAAAAAACAAACAAACAAACAAACTTTTTTTTTTTTTTGAGACGGATTCTCTTGATGGCAAGAACAGTTCAGGAGTTTGCCTGTCTACCACTGAGCTGCTGGTTAAAGTCCACTCTGAGACGCCTGAGAAGAAAGGCCGGTGACCCCTTTGGACAAAATCTACCCTGAAATACCCAATGGAGCACAGCTCTCTGAAACACAGGAAGGCGATTTAAAAAAAAAATGTTAATTTCGTATTTTACTCGACTGAGGTCAAAGACGTGTTAGAATTAAAAAACAAAACAAAACCTTCGTGTCTTAAAATCTTGGCTAATCTTTGTGACGGTTTCTGTGAGATGAAGTTCAAGTGTGCTACTCGGATGGTCTTTACCCTTCCTTCTAGTTTGGTCCATGGCTCTGTCGTTCTGCCCACTGATTTGAAATATGATTTCGGACAAGACTCGTGTTTTCATAGATGTGTGAGTCTTATGCTTAGCTTTTACTCTATTCCACTGGTTGGTACCAATGCACCACACTGTTTTACTTACTATATAGCTCTATGGTAAATCTTGCTCTCTCATAAAGTGAGTTATCTCAGCTTGTTCTTCAAACTGTCTCTGTTACCGAGTCCCACGGGGCCTGCGTCTCACTGACTGGGAGTCTGATTCATGCATTTCCTCAGGACACGAGTCTCTTAGCTCACACCTCTCATATTCTTGATGGATTTTACCTCTACCCACCCAAGAACCCTCTTTGTCTTTTTAATGCCTTCCCTCCAGAATGCTATCTCCTCAGCTATTGCTATGGCGACCCCCCCCCAATATGCGCTCTGTGGGCCCTTTCCATTCCTTCATTCTTACTCTGTAGGCCATTCGTTCTTAAGCAACCAACGACCGCGCGTGTTTTTTGATGGCGAAATTGAGCTCATTTTGTGTGCTTCAGTGATTAGTAAAATATTTACTTTTATTTTTCCATCTTTACATGTTCTGAGAGAAAGATGGGGCTGTCTGTTTCTGTAAAATTTCACAGCTTTGGAAATTCTCTAAAGGGTCACTGTGAGTCAGAATCCGCTCAAGGCAGTGGGTTTGGTACACTTACAGTTCAGGAGCCCTGCTGGTGCTGTTAGGTAAGCCTTGGATGGCTATCCAAAAGGTCAGTGGTTCAAACCCACTGTCCGCTCCTCAGGAAAAAGAAGAGGCTCTCTGCTCCATACAGATTCACTGTCTCAGAAACCCACGGCAGGCTCGCTGTGGGCTGGAACCGACTCAGTGGCAATGGGTGGTGGTTACAACGTCCATTTCCTCCCCAGACATCAGAAGACGGCTCACGCACTTTCTGATTCTCCTCCCACTTCACTTCCTGTGTTTGCTGCGATAACATGGAATTTCACTTCTAAATTATAGTGAGGGCTTTGGACATCTTTCCTTAGAGATTTTAAAAATCGCTTCTCTGTGCTTCACGCATAACTCACACTCTTTAGTTTCCATAGATGAGCTGTCCCTTGGTACATTCGACATCTTAGCGTCATCTTTCACCCTGTGGAAGTCCAACCTGTCTCATTGTTCAGAGGCGGCTTCCGAGGCATGTACTTTCCGGGCTCTTTCACAACCCTAGAGATGCGAGCCTGGGTTTCCCTCCCTCAGTGACTGAGAGCTCTCGTTGCCACCTCGGTGGGCAAGGCTCTCGGTGCCAGAGCCTTTCTCTGAAGATGTGCTGCCACGTGGGTGGGGTGGGCTGGAGACTTCTTGTATGAGAGGGGGGCTTCCTGGGAGCCCATCCCGGGAGCGGGGCGGTCACTGTTCTGCCTCTCAGACCCTAACTCCCACTGTTTGTCTCAGCCGCTAGGCAGCCGCAAATGCTCTCCAGATACAAGACCCCGAAGGCCGTGGCCCCAGAGGAGCCAGACTTGCTCTCGCGTCCGGCGCTGCGTACGGTGTACGTAGCTCTGTTGTCAACTAAATCCCATCTGCTTTTTCCCATCGAGGGATTCCTCAGCATCTTTGATTCATCTAACATGCTCCTGGATGACCCATGTGGTGCAGCGGTTGAGCGTTTGGCTGCCTACTGCAAGGTTGGCAGTTCGAACCTACCAGGGGCTCTGTGGGAGGCAGATGTGGCCGTCAAGACGTACAGCGTGGGCGCCCATGGGGAACTTCGAGCGTGTCCACTAGAGTCCCAGCCAATGGACTCAGTGGTAAGGGGTGGCTGTTTGTTCCTTTCGGGGGACTGTGTGTTTGTGTGTATTTAAATTGCACGCATTCATGTTTCGCTTTTTGCCTAGCACTATGAATGGGTGCATTCTTTTAAAAGATGTTTTCTGATGATGGTATAATGCCTCTTGGTACGACTGACCTGTGGAGTTGCATGGTATGTGAACTATATGCCAATAAAAATGTTTGAGTGTTGGGGGGAGGCATTTTCCTACTATCCGGGGCTTCAGGGAAGAGAGGAGTCAGAACAGTGGACTCATCCTGTCATCTGTGCCCAAACCCCAGGATGAAATGCGACCAGCGGTTATCACTGAGCCGCGACAATGGTCGCTGCTTCCTGAGAGCTTCCTGTCTGAGCGGGGGTGACGTCCATCACAGCGATATTTAGGGCAGCCCACGATCTTCACCAGAATGGTGTGGGGTTGGGAGGAAGGACTTGGGTGTGGGGAAGGGCCCTGCAGAACATGATGACAGTGGGACTGTCTGACAGAAGGTGGGACTCTTTGGAAAGGAGCCTGGGGGATGAGAAAGGGCCAGTGTATGTAGGCTATAGGAGCTGGACTCATCTCATCCCAAACTCACTGCCAGGGAGTTGATGGTTGATTGCAACTTGTAGGGTTTCCGAGGCTGTAAACCTTCCTGGGAGCAGACAGCCTCCTCTTTCTCCTGTAGAGATGCGGTGGGCAGCCACCCAACCCAAACCAAACTCATGGTGACCTTAAGATGCAGGGTAGAACTGCCTCTGTGGATTTCTGAGACTGTAACTCTTTACGGGAGTAGAAAGCCTCATCTTTCTCCCGAGGAGCGGCTGGGGGTGGTTTCAAACTGTTGATCTTGTGGTTACCAGTCCAACGCATGACCTCTATGCCACCTGGCGCCTTTCACCTGGTGCAGGGATAGCATCCATAGTTGCCATCTGCCAGCCCTGGACGCCCTGGCCCCAGAGGGCGAGACTGGAGAGCAGGAAAGCGACCAGACGTCAGAGGGGCCCAGGAGCCATGCGATAACCCAGTGAGACAGGTGCGGTGGGCGGGCCTGGGAACCCTCCCCTCCCCAGCTGTGGGGAGGGAGGTGTCTTCCAATGGCGTGGAAGCGCTGGTGTGCCTTTGCCAAGCGCCCCCGTCCCCCAGGCTGTAGGCCCTCGGTTGACTGGAGGATGCGGCGACGTGGCCGTGGGTACACCCTCTCAGACAGCACACAGGGCACAGGTGCCCTGCAGGGTCAATGCCTGCACTTGCTGTAGGAGGAAGCAGGCTCAGAGGTCAGCGGTCCTCCTCAAGGGCACACAGCGAGAACATCGCAGGCTAGGTCGGCGCCCCCCCATCACTCAGGGTCACCCAGGGCAGTACCTCCGGATGTCAACCCTCACCTCGTGGGCAAAGGGCCCTCCTCCCAGGGCCAAGAGCCACAGCCCCAGCCCTTCTGCCCCTCACATCCCCCTCTCGAGAGGCCCAAGGCCAAGGAGACCCTTCCCTCTGATGATTGGCAGCGACTGTGGCCCGAGCACACCCTGATCGGGTGATAAAGGCGGGGCGGTGACAGGCTCTGTACTGGGTGATGGACAATGCTGCTGCTTGGTGGCCCCTTCTGTGGGGCTGGCCTGTCCACTGCAGAGGTCTACCCTGGGGTCAGTAGTGATGTCACTGGGTTGATCCTGCTCAGGGTCCTGAGGGAAACTTAACATGAAGGGAGATACAAGGACCATCTTCCCTAACTTATAACAGAGGGATCTGGAAAGCTGATATTCCGCAGTAGGAAAGCCTCTACTTTGGTAAGTTAGAGGTGAAGTCCAAGTCCACGATCCTGCTTTAAAAACTGTTCCCACAGATTCTCCCCCTAACAGCTCTGCTGCCTTAAAGCGAGCACATGGTTGATACTATCTCCCTATAGAAGCAGACATTATCTTCCTGCCGTGACACCCAACCCCCTGGGACCTTCCCCCAATGCAGGTACTAGGTTTCCTCACCTGTGAACTCAGAGACCTTAATGTAGACACCACCCACCTTGTGGTGCATGGCACTACTGAACATGCATGTCTTAAGACTACCTATAAAGGCCCCAAGATAGTAAAGGCCCACTCTCACTTCTCCCAGTTCCACGTACGTGGTCCATCAAGAGGAGCTGAGATGAGCATGCTGCTACAAACTGTGTCTGACTCCTTTCTTGTATGCTCTCTCCCATCTTTCCTATCCACTATGGCTTTACTACAGTCTTATATGCTCTCAACCATACGCTTGCGGCTTCTGGCCCTTCGGTTGTTGGAGGCTGGCTTCCTCGGAGAGGGCCCTGAGGAGGGTGCACTCACACTGCACTTTGGCCCCTGCTTGGTCTCAGAGGGCGACAGCAGCTCTGGCAGTGCCCTGTGGGCTGCTCCTGGCAACGTTGATGTCAGTAGCGGGAGGCCGGGCTCTCTCATGGGGGTGGGGGGGTGGTCCAGTTCTTGCCCTCCCACTCCACCTGGCCCTGCCTCCTGCAGGGCTGTGTGTGCGCACCTGCCTCCTCCCAGACCCACCTGAAGAGGAGCAGCACAGCTTGGGGGAAGGTCTGGAAGTTGTTGTTCCGGTTGATCTCCGTGGTATCGTTCAGGGCGATTTTCCCAAACACCTGGCCGAGAGAGGGGGGGAGGGGGAGAGTCGTGGATGGCGAGGCCCCTACTCCTCGCGCCCCCTGCCCCCCTACCACCGATCCCCACATTGTTCCATGGTCTCTTCAGCAGACGCTGAGCAGGGCAGCCTGTGCATACATTAGATGCAGTCACACCCCGCAGTGCCCTGTGGGGTTGGGAGTGACCCTGGAGGCCCTGTCTGGCCCCCATCCTAATTCCTCACCACACACATCTCACAAAATTCTCCCAAGACCAGGAAAGGTCGGAGGGAGCTGGGGCTGAGGACAGCTGGGCCCTGAGACGGAGCCTCTGAGCAACGAGAAGGCTCTCAGGGCCCTCCTGTCATTGTGGTTGTTCTCTGCGTCCCAGGGCCTCTGCCAGGGCTTCGGCGGATACGCAATGAGGGCGCCTATGGATGGACAGGCCTGATTTGCCTCTGCGGCTGGAGGCCTCTGGCCACAGGCCTCCGAAAGCTTTGCTTCTCTCCGGCAGGGCCACCTCTTATCTGCTGGCCAGGGAGCTCCTCTCATCTCAGAGGGGTTGGCCCTGTGCACCGTGGCGAACCCAGGAGGGTCTGAAGGGCCGGTGGAGCAAAGCTTCCTGTGGGGCGAGGGGCTGCGGTGGTGCTGCAAGCTAAGCCTGAGGCAGCCCCTCACACGGGTCAGCGGCTGTGCAAGAGAAAGACGACCCGTCTGGACCCCCGTCTGGAACCCCCCGTCTGGAACCCCCCAACTTCGAGATGGAGAGGAGCCACACTGGAGTAAGAGTGTCCAGAGGAAGGAGGGCAGGCTGCAGAGAACGGGGAAGAGGGAAAGGGACAAGGTGGCGGGCATGGGCGCAGCGGGGGTGGGGGTGGGGCTCTACCTACCTGCATGCCAATCACAGCGTAGATGAAGAAGAGCATCACAATCAGCAGAGCCACGTAGGGCAGGGCCTGCAAGGAAGCACAGAGGCCCGTGAGGCCGCGCGAGGGCCAGGGGGCAGGCTGGCTGCTGGGTGCGGTCCCCTCTCCAGAGGTCTGCTGCTTGGCTTGTTGGGGACAGAGAACCACTTCCAAGAGAAGTCCCCGGCAGAGGTGGGCTGGAGCTTCTCTGGTGCGGTGTGTGGGGAAAACGGGGCCGCAGAATAAAGGACATTCATCTAGGAACAAGAATGACCCAGACATCCTCCCAGGGCAGTTTTAATTTCCTAGAACCCAGATTTCTGGGTCCATGAATTCGGGGTGACCTACTCGGATGGAATGACCTCTAGGTGTCCCTTTGGACCTTGGGCCCTTGAAGAAGGGTTCCCCTGGTCACCTTCAAGTCAACCAATAGTCCAGTCAGCAGCTTAGTGGAGATTCGTCAGCCTTAGGCACTGGGCTCCTTCAGGGACTGGTCTGTGCACACACAGCCCGTTTTCGGAGCAGGAAGCCCAGGCTCGGCCTGGGAAGGGTCCCTCTCAGAGTAACTGACCCTAGAACGCGGCCTGGTTCTGACACAGCTCCTGAGAAATGAGCATGGCAGCGACCGGCAGAAGCCCAATTGGAATCGCATGGACTGCCAACGAACATGAAGGGATGTCAAGAGGTTCGTGGGAAAAATGGGATTCAAAGACAATGGAAAGTTCCTCTATGTTCTGTGACACTCGCTTTTGGTGTTTGTCTGTGTGTGCAGTTTTGTTTTGGGCAATATATTTGTCTGAGCCGGGGTGGGGGTCCCTGGAACCGTCCGTATGGAGCTAATACTGCCAGGTCACCACCCTCTTCCTAAGCAGTTCTGCTTTGCTTCACCCGTTGTAGTGAGCGGGCATTACACTTGTTCTGAAGACGCTGGATACAGAGAAACGGAAAAGACAGACCGGGCTCAGATGCACCGGGTGCTACATTCCAGCAGTGGGAGCCAGCGCTTACAAAGTCACCTCTCGGAGCCCGTTTCTTTGCGTGAACACTGGAAAGCTGCCTCTTGGGTGACTGTGAAGGGTGAAGGGCAAAGTGGTTAAACGGCACTGTGGTACCTTGCAGGTGGTTGGTTTCCAGATGCTGTACTCTCGGTATCTACCTTGATCAACTTGGTTAAAAGTGTCTGTTCTTGACTTAAATGAGGGTGTCAGAAATTGCTTCACCGCCTGCCCATTGCCACTAGAGGGCACTGCTAGACCACAGAGCATCCTTTTTCACGTAGGCCCCAATTCAAGTATTCTTTCTTGTGGGTGTGTTGGGGTCTGTGCTTTCCTTCAGAGCCCTGGGGCTCTGAGCCACAGGGACAGAGGTTCCAGGCTCCCCAGGGTGCCCTTGGGGTGGAGCTGGACAAAAGCAGGTCTTGGAGAAGGCAGGCAGGACTCTGGGAGAGGTGACGAAATAGCTTGTGGGGCCTTGGGATAGCCCGCTCCTCAAGCGTAAGCGGGCCAAAGTGGGGGACCTGCAGGCACTACCTTCCCGGTGTGAGGTGGCTCCACTCCTCCCCAGCCAAGGACGCCAGGGCGGGAGAGGCAGGCTGCTCCCTGGGGCACTGCCCATCCTGTCTCTCCCAAGTCTCTTGGGAGTCGGTGCTCAGGGAGGTCCTCTCCCCTGCTCCCCACACCCATGGGTTCCTCTCCTGGGCCACACTTGGTGTTGGAGGGCTGGGCGTTTAACCCGGATGACTGGATGGGGCCTGGGGATGTGTGTAAGCACGTTCTCATCTGCTGTCTCCTGAGATCTTTCTTGAACACGTGTGTGTGTTTTCAGTCTCCTCGTTACACACGGAGTCTGGGTATGGGGCCTGTGTATCCTGATCACTTATTTACAGTGTAAGCTCGCTGAGGGTGTGGGGCGGCATCTCCCATCTTGTCTCCTGCATGGACCACCAGCAGAGAGCAGAACCACTGAGCAGGGGGCTCCTGGGGGATCAGCACTCTGGGGTGGAATAGGGCATGGCTGACCGCTACAGTGCCACCCCTTCTCACCTGTGAGGCAGCGTGGGGAGGGGGGGGGGATGACGGTCTGAGCAGGGTGAAGTACACAGCGTGGAACCCAGACACCCCACAGGGTCAAAGGCCACGCCCAGGGTCTCAGCAGCTCACCCTTAGGCTGAGTGTTGGTTGGTCATGGGGAGGGCAGCTGGGTGGGGCATCAGGTACAGCTGGTCTAGGCCCCTGAGACCTTGGGGGCTGGTTCAGAAAACACGTGGAGATGAATTCCAGGCAGCCCCCCAGGCCAGACAAAGCCTTTCTCCTATGGCTGCATGGACAACTCATGGACCATCTACCCATGGACCACGGACCAGAGACCAGGCCTGGCCTAGCCATGCTGCTGCCCAGGTCTGGCCCAGGGCCAACTCAGGAAGTCTGAGAACACTGCTTCCATGGGGAGAGCAACCTGCCCTTGGCATCAGGCTGGGATGCTGGAAGCCACACTGAGGGGCTTCTCGAGCTCTTGTGGAGGTTTCAGAGCTCTCTGCTGACGGCAAGGCCGGAGGTTCAAACCCACTAGCAGCTCCGCAGGACATACAGCCTGGGGAAGCCCTCGGGCGGTTGTGCTGTGGCCACTGAGGGCGGCTAGGCCACTGTGATCGACTCATTGGGTTTTTCAGCTCCGATGGCACAAAGGTTCAGGCAAATGCTTCCCAAAGTGGACAATAATGGCCCCTGGGTGGGGTGGGGGTGTTGCTGGTATGAACCAGAGGCTTTGCAAAAGCAGCTCCTACATTTTGTTCTGGAGACGAGGCTACGGGACGAAAGGTTTGAATTGCCAGAGGGTGCCATATATATATTGTTTTCTTTTTTCCCCTGAAGAGGGGCAGGAAGCCAAATAAGTATGAACCTATGAAGGCCTGAGAATGGTAAGGTCAGAGGTTCCAATCCCCCAGCTGCTCCGTAGCAGTGTTAGAGCCGTCTGCTGCTGTAAAGAAGTACACCCCCCCGCCCTCCCCTCCCGCCGGGGACAGCTATACTCTGCCCTCTAGGGTCTCTCCAGTGGGACTTGACTTGCGGGCAACCGGTATGGAGTTCCTTCGGTTCTGCCAGCAATCTCTAAGGACGCCAAGCAGCTGACACCGCTTTGCTACTTTTCAGCTCCAGACTTACATAACAGCCTTCAAGAGCCGGCCCGGGGAGGTCTTTATTTTGTTTTTACAGATAAAAAAGCGAAAGTGATAGCAGGGAAGAGAGAATTAATTATGTCGTTAGGAGGCCCCGTGTGTCCCTGGGAGAGAATGCTTTCCCCTCCGGCGTCAGACACCAGGGTCCCCAGGAGCGGGCGTGGGGATGGGCACAGGCAGGCACAGACGGCGGGCATGGCTGAAATGCCCATGCAGGAAGGAGGCGGCTGATGCTAAACATGCGACCACGGGAAGGGCCGTGGGGTTCTGGGACTTTCCAGGAGAGTAACTCCCGGGGTCTCAGCGGTGCTCCTTTCACACCGCCCCTGTGTCCAGGGCGGGCATGCGGAGGGGCACCGGGGTCCTGCAGCCCCAGCCTCCCCCTTTCCCTGAGCTGGGTGTGGGTGTCTGGAAGCAG